ACGACCTGCGCATGCCGCAACTGCTCCTCCTCGCGCCCGCATCGTCGTCCCCCCGTTCGCGCTTCGCCCGATCGTGTTCCAGCCCTCGTCCCGCTCCACGCCCGCGGTACCCTCCCCTGCTCACCCGCCCTCGTCCCGCCGTTCTGCCCGCCCCCCCCTCAAGCTTCCACGTTCGTCCCTGCCCCCCTCCCACGCCTCCTGCCGTCTTCCCCCTCCCGCATTCCGCGTTCCCCGCCTTCCCATCCCCCTTCGCCGCCGTTGAGTGGCATCCCGTCTTCCGCACTCCTTCCCTGCTTCTTGCATGTACCCCTCCACGCTGCACCACCGAACCCAACGGTCCAATGTCTGGTCGCTTCGCCTGTCACTTTTGGCCCGTGCCGTATCCTAAAGGATATAAAGCCCAAACACTTGCGCGGGCTGGCGATTCGAACGATGTGGCTGTCGCCTGACACCTCTTCGAACGATCTGATTATACAGTTGGGAGATGTTCACAGTTTCGCGGATGCAGGATGAGCGAGTCTCAAAAAATCATGGCCCGTCTCAAATGTCATGGCCCTGTAGCTTAGGACCTCAAACAGTTACAGGGACGGACGGAGAGTGATGTTCTGGCTCTCCCACGCGAATTTCTCTCAGAACCAGCTGGGCACTCAGTGTGCAGGCCCATGGAAGCGTCGCCTATAGATCACGCGCTCGCAGTAGAGACATACGTACACGCATCGACTCATGAGGACGGGCACGGAGCGGGATGGTAGATTGCAAACTCGGTGATGATGGCTGGGCCTGGCCCACCTCATGATCATGTCTACTCATCATCATCCTGCTCCTCCTCTTCCTGATCCGCCCTGGCACATTATGACAATCCTCCTGCACCGACAGCTCACTGGCATGCCGTTTCTTCTTTTGCTGCTCCCCTCCTGCAACTGTTTCTAACAAGATCCGCCTACCAAAATTGATCCAAAGTCCCCACCCGTCGTCCCGCGCTCCTCTTGCTTCTCCCTCTCACCGTTCATCCTACGCCAGCCCCATCCGCCCTCTGCATGATTACTTCGCCATCGACCTTCGGGCGGGTGGCAACGGGGGGTGACCCACAGGAGGAGTGAAGGATCGGGGATGGACAGACCCCCCTTTAGTAAAACCTGGTTTAGTGAAAACGACCTGAGGCCCAAACCTGGCGGGCGCAAGCCTGGAAAATGACGGCCGCGGCGCCCTCTCGAGAACCGAAGACGGACAATTCACTAATCGACGCGTCACTGTTGGGGGTCCTGTCCGCCCCCGAAAGAAGGTGGCCCTAAAGTGGCCATTCGGGGCCTCTGTTGGGCCCCTGCTGGCTCCAGACGGGGCACGAAGGGGCCCTTCAGGGCCCTTTTCTTCACCCCCGAGTGGGGTCAGCCCCCATTGCCGTCCGCCCGACCTCAGCCATCCCCCCCTGCGCCATGCGTGATTACTTCGCCATCGACCTGTCGACCTCGGTCATCCGGCTCCACTTGCTCCTCCTGCTCCCTCCTCGTGCTCCCCCTCAATGCGCCCAGGCCTGTCCCAGCGCTTGCCCGTGCTGCCCGCTGCAGATCGTCATGCTCATGATCCTGCTCCACTTCTGCACCCGAATCCGCCGCTGCTGGCCATGCCCCCTCTGTCACCTACTCCCGCTGGTGTTCCTGCGGATGCTGGTACATAGATTCCTCTTACTTCTCCTCCTTTTCCTCCTCCTGTCTCTTCTGTGACCTTCGGGGGCGTTGCTAGAAGAGCCCATGGCCAAAGGTGCCGCCAGCTTTTGGTTGAATTTTGGAACCGCTGAGGCCATTGGACCTCGTGAGGGGTGCTCTGGAGGCCATGGGGGCGTCCTTGGTTGGGACTTCTTGGGACACATTGGGCCAGGGACACCCGAGACCTCCCCGTCCCCGCCCCCCTCCCCTGCTCCGAACTGGCGTTAAAACCATGGCCCTCGCGCAGATCCCCACCCCTGCAGCTGCGAAAAAAAGGCCTGGGCGTCCACAAGGTTCTGCTCGGCCTCGCGAGGAGAAGGGCGCGCCGGACGCGGCGCGATCGATTCCCCCCCCCCCTCTCCTCTCTATATCTGCTTACTGCCCAGACAACAGGCGGAGGACAGCGGAGGGAGAACCCCCCACGTCCCCGTTGCTCCTCTCTTCCGCCTCGAGCGCCCCTACCACTCAGCCTTCCCCCCCCCCTCTCCTCTCTATAGCTGCTTCCATCCCGGACCCCAGGCGGAGCACAGCGGAGGGAGCGCCCCCCCACGTCCCCGTTGCTCCTCTCTGCCGCCTCAAACGCTGCTTCCCCCTCTCCCCACTCCTCAGCTCTCCCCCCCCACACTCCTGTCTATAGCTGCTTCCCGCCCGGACCCCAGGCGGAGCACAGCGGAGGGAGCACCCTCCCACGTCCCCGTTGCTCCGCTCTTCCGCCTCAAGCGTTGCTTCCCCCCCCGTGCCCCCCTACCCCTCAGCCCTCCCCCCCCGCCCTCATCTCTATATCTGCTTCCCGCCCAGACCCCAGGAGGAGCACAGCGGAGGGAAGCCCCCACCCTTCGTCCCCGCGTTCTCCTCTCTTCCGCCTGAAGCGCTGCTTTTCCCCCTCACGGCCCCTCATCCCCTCAGCCTTTCCCCCCCACACCTTCCTCTCTATATCTGCTTCAGTCCTGGACCCTAGGCGGAGCACAGCGGAAGGAGCCCCGCCCACGTCCCCGGTGCTCCTCTCTTCCGCCTCAAACGCTGCTTCCCCCTCCCCCTACCCCTCAGCTCTCCCCCACCCTCTCCTCTCTATAGCTGCTTCCATCCAGGACCCCAGGCGGAGCACAGCGGAGGGAGGCCCCCCCCACGTCCCCGTTGCTCCTCTCTTCCGCCTCAAGCCGCTGCTCCCCCCTCCCGGCCCCTACCCCTCCTACCCTCAGCCCTCCCCCTCCTCCGCCTCTATATATCATCTGGCTTACTCATGGACCCTAGGCGGAGCACAGCGGAGGGACGCCCCCCCCACGTCCCCGTTGCTCCTCTCGTCCGCTTCAAGCGCTGTTTCTGGGGAAACCAGAAGGTACCGATACCGCTACTCCCCGGACCTCTCCCAGGGTGCGTTCTGACCCGGATCTCGACGCGAATCCCGCGGTGGGGACGAGGGCCTCCGCGGAGGCCCCAAAAGAGAGGAACACGGGCGGAGGGGTAGAGGTATGGGCACCCTTTCCTCCTCTGAGCTCCCTCCTCCCCCTGCCCCCTCGGCCCTCCCCCCACCCCATCTGCGCCTGCCCCCCCCTACCTCCTTCCCCCTCCCACCCTCCCCCCTCCCCCTCCCTCCCCCCCCCCTCCCCCTCCCCCTCCCCCCTTCCCCCTCACCCTCCCCCTCCCCTCCCCTTCCTCCTCCTCCTCCTCCTCCTCCCTCCTCCTCCTCCTCCTCCTCCTTCCCTCTGCTCCTCCTCATCCTTTCCTCCTCCCTCTGCACCTACACCATCGGCCCTCCCCCCTCCCCTTTCTGCGCCTCGCCCTCGCCCCTTGGCCCCGGCGGAGGCGGGCGGCCACGGAGGCCCTCCACGCCCCCGCCGTCCCGCGCTCCTCTGCCTCGAGCGCTAGCCTCCACCCTCCGCCCGCCCCACGTGGCCCACTGCCCCTTCCCCTTCCGCTCCCCTCGTCCACAGTCGATCATTCTCCTTCTCCTCGATCCTCCTTGATCCTCGATCCTCCTCCTCCTCGATCCTCCTCGATCCTCCTTGATCCTGGGATCCTCCCTGATCCTCGATCCTCCTCGATCCTCCTCCTTCTGGATCCTCCTCGATGCTGCCCTCCTCTCTTCCCTGATGGCGTCCGGAAGATCTCTGGCCTTTCTCCGCAGACGGCTTTTTACGCATAGGATCCCCGGAACATGGGTTGTCGCTTGGCTTTGGTTTCAAAATGCTGATCCCGCTGAAGCGCTGGCCCCGTTTCTGCGCCTCTGGTTGTTCCCAATCGTGCTCCAGCTGCAGCCCAGGCGTTTCCAGTCCTTCCAAATAGGCCAGAAAAATTAGCAAATGCCCCCCCGAAACAAAAACAATCGGAAGTGATTACACATTCGATGCTGATTCGTTGATCCTCTGGGCCGCAGAAGCCCCCTTGGGGCGTCGTCGCTTTCAGGAAATATCAAGCGGGAGCCCCGTTTCTGCTTTCAAAAGGCGCTGTCGAAAACACAGCCAGCGGGTGCTCTCCATCAGCCCCGCCTT